AGAAATCTTGCAAATTATCAGAGGTTGCTGTTGCWTCATGAGAATCAGTAGATTTGACAAATGTAATTTGGGAAATAATTATAAAGGGTAACTTCAGCTAGCTCTTAACTTCTGTGACCTCCCTCTCCGGTCTCTGAAGAGAATCAGATTCCTCCAGGGCAAAGTTAACTGTGAGAGTTAACTGTGGGTACTCAGATGATCCCATCTGGGAAACTGCCTTTCTTCACTGAATGCAAAAGGAGCCKGAGGACACTCACTGCCCAAGGGTGATGGGTTTTGTCAATATTTTCTTCTTTCTTAGCMTAGTAAAAGTATTCGTATTTTCCACAGTAGTCTGGAAAATAAATATATATATGAATTCATGTAGATATTTCAYATAGATCATACAAAAATTGCACCTGAAGATCACTGCAAGTCATAGGCATAAAATCTTTTGGACAGTAGCCTTTGCTTTTGGATTAGCAGATACATATTTTGTATCAAATTTATTTGAAGTGTAGTTCCAGATATCTGTGGTCTTATTGCAGGAGTGAATATTGTTGGCTTTTTTTTTTTCTTTTTACTGTTTCTACTGTCATATTTAAGAAATATTTGTGGTTTATTATTAACTTAAAAGGAATACATATGGCTCAACAAATCCACTGTAGCGAATTTTGTATCTATGCCAAAATTTATATTCCACGGAAATCTTTTAATGGGACTGTTTAATCTTGGCTTATCGATTATAGAAACCTTCAGACAAATTGTTCAGTGCAGAAACCAGGCAATACAGACACTGCTCAGTGCTTTGTTTATGCAGGCACACTTTGGGGCATTCTCAGCTGAAGAAGCATTTCAAAAACATTCAGTAAATATAGATATACATGTTGTAGTTAAGTAATAYTTTATTTTTGAAACTATTTTTTTTTAAAAAGTATGGACAGAGTGCACATTTCTTACTAGAAAATGCACAACAGTAGTGTCAGACGATGGGGAGGATATGAGGAGAAGGTTTAGAGAGGTTTATCCCTCTAACAGGATTTTTAGGGTCAGGCATCCTCTCGTTATCTGATTTAGGAATTTGTTTTACAAGAATACTTATTTGGAAAATATTTTTAAATATGCTTATATAAATATAAAAATCTCTGTTGGGTAGTAGTTTGCCATGGTCCTGGGGAGGAAGGGAGAGAGATAGTTAAGAGTCTGAGACTCTTCACTCATTTTTTGGACATGAAAAGAGGCAGAAAMGAAACGTAAACATTACTTCTCTGGTTATTGATATTTATTCCTTGACATAGAATAGCTATCCTAGAGAAATGCCACTTGCACAGCCTAACAAATAACAGCCTTGATTTAATAATTTTTGGAATGCTGTTGTATTTGTAGCTCCCTTGATTTCATTGTCTCCCTTGAACAAGGTGTTGCAGTGACCATTGCAATTGTCAGTACTCAGGTTAATTATTTGTTTGGTGGGGATGTATTGTCCTGGCTCTGTAAAACAATTCTGTATAGCAAGCAGCTGGATAGGGAGCCATTCATTCCAGAGTTCAAGAGAAAAATATGGGAGTGTATTTTTGCTTAGTTGAATTTAAAGTATGCAGCTAATCTGTAATTTCCTGCCACTTGCCTGTCATTTTTGATGGTTATACAGAATGAAGTTTTCTCCCTATTACTGAATTTTTGAGGAAATTAAATACCTTCTCAGTAAATTGRGGAATTCAGTCTTAATTACAGCACTTAAATGTTGTCAGTCTAGATCAGATTTCTGTAATTACAATATTTTACTTYATAGATTTGATATAAAACCTATCAGATGACTTATCAATGCAAGGAAAGGTAGAAACTTTCACATTTCAGAAGGTGTAGGAGTTTCTCTGTTCATGTTATGGCAGTTCTTGTTTGTAAATGAGTTGTTCTCAGTAGTTAACAACCACATCCAATAAGAGGATTTCTTATGTCATGGTACCCATGTGCTCTTAAGAAGTTGATCCCTTCTCATCAAACATTTCTGCTGCAAAATACCATAGCTAATRTCTCTCATTGCATTGAAACTGTTAACTTGAGAAAACCATTTTCTGATTTCYCCAGTGCATGCATTTTAAGATCTGAATAAGGTGAGGGTTTTTTTTTAAATGTGATTGGGTTTATAAAATTTTGTTTGGCATTTAGTGTTTTTATTACATGTGCTGTTGGTATCTGTACATAGCGTAAACCTGATCTTTCAGGGTTTCAGCAATTGCTTCTCATCCTCATCTACACATCTTTTGATTTTCAGATATGTATTAAGGATCTAGCATTAGCTTTTAATTTTGTACTGTGGGAGCAGTCTCACCTTGCTTATTTCTGACACACAAACCTGAGTCACGTTTCCCTTATCACATTCCTGGATTTTCCTGGAGCTGGCACCTCCCAGAAATAACTGCAGGAGTTAATGTTGTGTGTGTCTTCCTAGAGATGGTTCATGCAGCACTYTGTGTGCTCTCCTCTTTGTGACAGCAGCCCAGGTGAGGGAAATGACATCAGTGTAGGGGAAATTGTGGTGACACAGAAGTGACATCACCACAGTTCCACTGACTTTCCTTCCCTCCCTACGCTGGTTGTGGCATACCACCAGGGCTTCCCTCTGCTTTTGTCTTTCCCAGTTATTCAATGGCTTTGGGATGTCTCACCCGCCGTAAAAAAATTGCAGCAACCTAGAGGCTGYTTTGAGGAGCTTGAGCACAGACAGACATGTTTCAGTGAATAGAGCAATCATCATTGAATCTGGGCTTTCTTTTCTGTACCAAACTGTCAGTCCTGGGAAAAGGCCAGTGTTAGAGGTGGAGGTTCTTCAGGAGTTTGGCATGATAGGTGTGCTTTGTTTTTTGTTGTCTTTATACTTCCCCTAAAATGTGTGTGTTGTATCACCTTGTTTTCCATGTAACCACTACCATGTTTTCCATCACCATACCTAACAATTACCCCTAAGCACTACTTTACCCTCTACCCTAACCCCATCACAAGGGGTCTCCAGATTAGAAAGATGTAGGAGAGCAATGCTGGGGCCCTGTCAGACATGCCTTTTCCAGCCCCAGCGTTCCCAGAGCTGCAGGCTCTTTGACTCAACCCTAATCCTAACCCTAAAAATTACCTGGAGATTTTCTGCTTGACATATATGTAAGCTATTTACTCACTTCTAAAGCAAAGAAATGAAAAGGAATGGGAGTGCAGGTATCTAAAGATGTGTGCCAGATACTAATTCTGAGAAACACACAGAAAACGATACCCATTTCCAGAAGCACTTTTGCTCTTCACTGTTGGTGTTCTCCAAAATGCTTTCTTCTCTCCATTATTTTTTGTTAATAGTCATTACTGCTTTGCACAAATCTCCTGAGCCTTAAACCACCTTGGCTGTTTGTGACACGGCCCTGGGTATGGAATACAGAAGCTCATTTTTACACAAATAATTTGCACAATAAGGAATTGTGGATTTATGACTTGGATTTCCTGGCTGCATGTCTGTTCAGAACTTTATACAGTGTTTGGTGTGTGGGGTCTCAGTCTGTCTGTCCAGCTCTGARGACCCCAGCAGCAACACTTCACCTTCTGCTTAAACACAGAGCCTCAGCCCTGGCAGAGCCAATCACAGGAAGCCTTTTCAGTGTACCTGGCAGAGCTTTCAGTCATTTTTCAAATACAAATTGCTTGCAAAAGAAAGCAGTGCCATTTTCTCCCTGCTGGCTTTCTGAAATGTCATGTTGGGAAAAGCACTTTACCATGTCTTTCATATGAAGAGAAAGCTTTCAGTAATGACTGGTATTTCTGAGTCTGTTGCAGCCAGTGCAGCTGTTGAAAATGTCATTRTGTATGGCACAAATAGGGGGGCATTTTGAGCAAGACCATGCACTAAGTGATTTCAGTATTAGTTGGAAAAGGGAAAAAAGTCAATAGAATGTTTGAAGAATAGACAACCTTTTGGATGTAAATGCATAAAATAAAACAAAAATTGAAAAATGGTTTTATTAGTTCTAGAAGTCATCAGCAAAAATACATTATTCGCTATAGTAGTTGGAGATGTATGAATTTTGCAGACTCTGTGATTGAATTTCATATATCTATGAGGAGAGTTTTGAACAATCAGGCCAACTGTAATATTCCTGCATTGAAGTGCTGGAATAATTCTTTGGCAGAATATGTTGAGARGTTGAAATGTTCCTAATGTTTTCCATGTAGAATTCTTACTTTTATTACTGATCAAACTCCTCTGAATTCCATTTTTATCTTTTCTTTTATCAGTTATGATGCAAGTATAAATACTATCTTTTTCCATAATTAAATGTGACTATGAATAATTCTGCCAATGCATTGCCTCACATCCCATCTTCCTCATCTGGCCAGAATTTGGGAGCTTTCGTCTCTTTCCTATGCAGACATTAGCTTTTTTTATTTTCTCACTTTTTTCTATCTATCCTTATCTGTGTTTAATTCTCTATTTTTTTTTTTTTTTTTTTTTTTTTTTACTTCTTTTTTTTTTTTTTTTTTTTTTTTTTTTTTTTTGTTCTGTTTCTTTACTTCTTCTCTAACATCATCTAGATTTTTTTCCTTTTCTACCCAGTAGTTTTTCTCAGCTTTCTGGGTTTTTTTCCATTTGCTCCCTTTCAACTTGGGTCTTATGTAAGTGCAAGAACACCTAATGTTTCTGAGTTTTAATGTTCACGGAATGCTGAACTATAAAGTTGCCTTGGGAACTAAGGGCAGACCTAAATTTAGAASCAGTGATTCTTTTTGGGGTCAGTGGTCATTTGTTCATCTCCCATGTGTACTTACAGACATTAGAAAAAGCTTCCCAAGAAAACTGCAGGTTCTCAGCTGGGAAAATGGGAAGAACAAAGAAAATGGAGTTTGTTTGTGTGTCCCTTTTGCTGAAGCTCCTTTGCTGACCCTTTGGGAAAGGCTGTTCAGGGATGTGCTTGGACTGGAGCACACARAAYAGTGATCAAATRGCTCCTTCACTGAACCAATCATGTYYATTTTCTATGCAGGGAATAAATCACAAGACAGYGGGATTGCAGAGATGGAGGAGCTTCCAGTCCCACACAACATCAAAATAAGTAACATCACGTGTGATTCCTTCAAGATTTCTTGGGACATGGATTCTAAATCCAAGGATCGCATTACTCATTACTTCATCGATCTCAACAAGAAAGAAAACAAGAATTCCAACAAATTCAAACACAAGGTAATTGTCATTTAAAAATCAAGGCACAAATACTTGATTTTAAACAGATGAATCTCTGTGTTCTATTAACCTTTCAAAGCCAGGCCATGGGAAACAGGAATTGGACACCCAGCAAAGGTAAGTTTTGATTAATCTGATGGAATTTTGGTTAYCTTCTCTGTCTCTAGCCTATGTGCATATACACACAAATACATTTGTTTCACAGACAATCGAACAACACCTTTTCAGTTTCATTTGAAAGCAGTTTTGGAACCTGTACAATGTAGTGCAAGGCAGACATTTTTATTCCTGCCTAGTTCTTTATAATTTTTTACACCATGTGTGTATTCTCTGCCTGTCCTTGTTCGGTGACAGACTCCTGAGAGCAACACATGTCATTTCAACAGAAGAGCCACAAATTCTAATGCACTTCAAGAAGGCTTCCAGCAATTTTAGTTTGCAGCATTCAGCACTGTGACCTGAATATTCATCTGGCCTCTTTCCTCAAGCCTCTGGTGCAGGAACATATTGAAGGCATTGCAGAATCTGTGCTTACCAAATCCAGCAAAATGTGCTTTGACCTCAGAACAGTTGAAATACTGAGATGTCTGGAGAAATAGGGAATGAGATAGAACACTAAGCAACACAGTCTTCTGCAAATTTGAAAGTAATGTTAGCATGATCTAAAAAATAAGGTTTGCCAAGGCACAAATAACCATTCAAACAAATGTAAGGGCTGTAATTATATCAGCACCTAAATAACTGTTGGTTTCTAAGCCAGTGGGATAAACAGAAAATATTTCCTACAATTTCTCTGAGAGTTTTATTGTGAGAGTATTTTTCATGAGATTTCTGTAAATAGCAGGTGTATAATTTTCTTATTTGACCTTCTTTGTTCTTAATTTTTGTTGGAAGTAACATATGCTTTAAGAGTAAGGMAAAATCACTTACTATTGCTTGAAATTAAGAATTTTACATGTTTGGCCAGGATGTTGCAGTTGCTAGGAACCAGTGTGTGAAGCACTACTAATCCTAATGTTATAATAGGAATGTATTATGCCCCATTTTTGATTGTAATAACAAATAAAGTTGGGTACTTTTGCTTTTTTTCTTACTGTTGCTATTTTGGACTGACAGCCTTTTAATTGAAATTCCCATTTTACACTGCAGGTATAAATATATCTTCTAATGTAAATGCTTAGTAGGGATGGATTCTTTATAATTTCATACATTTTATTATTCTACATGTTTTTTTCATTCACATGCAAGCTGGTGAAAACTTGGAATATTTATTTTTGTGAAAAGTAGAGCCATCCTAGTAGAGGAAATACCACATACACTTCAGAATCTTTATCAGAGTGATGAGATTACAGTTAAAATGGAAAGGGAGGAAAAGGATATTGGTAGTGTAATACAGATGAGCTATTAGATTTATTTTGTGTTTCTCAGCAATTCCCTAGCTTTTTACTGTGTAGTAATGTTTAGTCAAAGGACAGAGGTAATTGATTTTGTAAGAACAGGAGAATAAAATCTATCCATTAAAATGATGAATAAATTTGATATCTTGTCAGAATTAACTAAAAATTGCTTGCTATTAATTTTGTTAGTGACTTGGTTAAGTTTTTTTTTGTGTAATTAATTTTTTCGTTGGTAAATTCCCAAGCCTGAATAACAGATATGCAGAGAGCAGAGAGGGTGGGCAACAGTAAAGCACAGACTGAATGCTCCAATCTGTGCCAGAGCATTTAGGTGTTTGCTTTCCTGCATGTTCAGTATAAGCAAAGAATGAACTTTTGTTGATTATTGAAATGCTCAAATTCAAAATGTGTAACCCAGGTGTGGTTAGAGCCAAGCATCCTTCCTCCCTTTCAGGCTGGCCACAGGGGTTTCCCAGCTGAAGCTCAGCTGAGCTGATATCCCAGCAGCTGCAGCATTTGGGGCTCAATTCTCACAGAAAGGAACTAAGTCCCACCCATCTSTTGGCTTCCTAACAAATCTTTTATGTAAAGGTTAGGGATAGCACTGCTCCTCTCCTGGAAGCGCTTTTTAGAGAGAAAGGAGTGAGCYCTACTGCTTAGATACAAAACAGAGCGTTGGGATCTACTCCTAGGAGTCATCCAGCACCCTGAAAATGCCTGTGCAAGGAGAATTCATCCTGACTTGGCTTACAGGTAGAGTAAAGCACTACAGGTGCCTGTCTCTCACAGCTGATAACCCAAAGGACCAGCTCCTTTTCTAATTTATACAGAATTAAGATAAAGTATCAGTTTGCTCASATGGCTGTGAGTAAGTGACTCGGGATATAGGCATAACGTGATAGATAGATCCATGCTGTACCTCAGGAAAGGGAGCTGTTTGTTTTCCTGGGAGAGCATGTGTGAATGAGTCATCCTTTCAATACTGTTTCTGTTGGTAAATATATAAATTTTATTCAGCATACTTAGGTTTTGTTATTTATGATTATTTTCATCATTTCAAAAGCAGAAGGTTTGTGTTGGTAGTAGTGTGCAAAGCCTAGAATTGTAATAAGATTTTGTCTTTTTATAAATTCAATTTACATACCTTCTCTCTTTTTTAAAACATGGAAATATGATTACTCCCATGTAATAGGAAGAATGCTCTAATATTTAGCAAAACTGGGTGTGCTGATCTCTCACAATGTGTTGTTTTACAAGCAAAGTTCTACCTGGCAAAAGGAAGAGTAATATGAAATGGGAGAAAGCTGAGGACTGAAAGCTGCCTCTTTTCCCAAAAAGGAGCATTAGAGTGACTCAYATACCTCGCTGCTTATCTAATCAGAGCTTCCAGGCTGTTCTTAGAAATTATGGYCATCTAGGTACCTTTAGAGTTGTCTGCTGGTGGCTGGTGGTGGAGCAGCCATCTGCCACTCCAGAACCCTGGTGCTCTGAGCTGGCAAAGTACCTGCTTTGCACTCCTYTGGTGGCTCAGCCAGGAATGAGAGCTGAGCAGAAGAGAGATGAAAGGGAGAAATGGAGAATCCTCAGAGGAMTCTCGATGTGAACATTTGAACATTTCCTCTGTGTAGTGGAAAGAAAAAGAACATCAGATTAGAATTATGAGGAGAATCACATCTGCCCCTCCTCTCCAGCTGTGCAAGACATAAATCCCTCAGTTAAAGGTGATGTCTGCCCCTTTCTTTTTAGCCTTTTATTTTTTAGGTAGTCTCCCCCTTTTTTTTTGCTACAATTAAAGAGGTTCCTGATGCACAGCTGGAAGGTAAGGCTTCAACACCTGGGGGCAGCAAGGCTTTTAATGTTTCCTAAAACCTGACAAAATTAATGGGGGAAGAGCCAACAGTGGGGTGTGAGCACAGAGATCTGACCCAGGTGGAAGCTTTTTCTACAGCTGAAAYAGAGGTGACAGGAAGACTAATGTTGTTAACTGTAGCACCTGCTGACTGCATTAGCAGGAGCAGACTCAGTGCAGTGGGATGCCTCTTGGGGTGGTAGCTTTAATGTCATTTGGTGTTTGCTTTTCTTTCCTTTGTAATTTTTCTCTGCCTGTTATTTATTATAGCATGCACAACTGTCTCCTTTTCAGAGTTTTTCTTCCCAACTATTGTTTTATTTAAATGAGTATTGGCAAAAGAGAAATCATGACAACAAAATTTTACCCTTGATTATCACTCAGTTACATCAGTTCTTGTAATATCCCAACCTGCTGATTTTACAGTTTCTTAATACAGAAACTGAAGAATATTTTTGTTGATACGAAAACAAAAGAAGAAAGATCATTTCCTATAATGGAAAAGAAGGAGAAAAAGTCCTTCAGATCTTGCTTAGAGATCACGCAAGAAAATATCTCTCTTCTTTTCTTTTCTTTTTTAAAGGACTATTAGGCAAGTATTTATAGGTAGATGATTGTGGACTYGTATTTATAGGTGGAGAGTTAGGTATGTCGTTTAAAGTGCCCACTTTTCACCTGGCAGCCATATTACTATTCTGGTATTACTGGTGAWTATTCAATAATAAATATCTCTCTTTTTATCACAGCTCCTCAGGTACACACTACAGASTGTCATTCAGCTCCATGAGTCCTTTCACCTGCAGTTTTAGCACAAACTGCACAGTTCTTCCTTTTTTTTTTGTCCCTTGGTGATCTGTACTGAAGTCTTTGGGACTTTAGAAATCAAGTATTTCAATACAATACGCMGCTATTTTTCTTTGTTGTACCCTGGGGCTGTGATACACTGGAAGAGCAAAACAAAGGATCTGGAAGGGCAGTGGTGGGGGAAAGCAGRAGGTTCAGTGATAGGCTGTTTGTTTGGCTTCTTCTGGCCATTCCTGTGCAGAAGGGTATTTCCTTAGATGTAAACCCTATATAGTTCCTCTGCTACATGTTTAATTTTCTCCTTTGAAATTTAGTTTGGAACATATCAACAGCAGTGTAGATGGACTGACTGATGGGAGAAGGAGTTTTGTTTGGTTACGTTGTCTGGAAGGAAACAATGACAATGAGAGCACAAGAAGCTCTTAAATTATGATATCTGCGACTTTGTTCTTGGAGAACAAAGCATGTCTTGCTTTCTTTGCATGCTTAAGCACAAATAGCCTGGTCTGGATTATGTATTTGGGCTGTATATAATAGTACTACTGTACAGTCACTTGGAACAAATAATTCATACGTGGAGATTTTCCCCATGTCTCTTAGAACAGGCCTTACACCACTGTCCTCCAATTTACTGCACCAGTAAACCTTGGGAAGTAATCAGGCTTGCTGTTGGGGACTGCATTGCAAAAACAGTGGAGAAATGGGTGGTAGATTGGTTACCCTGCTGACTTGCTTCTGTCCCTTTGTTTGTGACAGGATGTGCCCACTAAGCTGGTGGCCAAAGCTGTTCCCCTGCCCATGACGGTGCGCGGGCACTGGTTCCTGAGCCCCCGGACAGAGTACACGGTAGCGGTGCAGACGGCCTCCAAGCAGGTCGATGGCGATTACGTCGTTTCCGAGTGGAGTGAAATCATCGAGTTTTGCACCGCAGGTAACATTGCCAAGGGATTTTTCTCCACAGGAGTCAATTAATGCTGCCTCTGCTGCCAGACTGGGTTGGTCACCTGCCAGTGCCAACTGTGCCRGTAGCATTTAATAGTCATCTCTGAAAACTGGAATTCAAATTGAGGCTTTTTATGTGTCAAGATCTGGCACATTAAGCAGAGGCAGCTGGACTGCCCTTTTCTTGTGCAATGGCGTAGCTGTCCCAAAGGGCTGTGCCCAGCAGCCCTGCGTGTCCCAGGCTAGCAAAGGGCCACTTGTGTGCCTGTTGCTGGCTGCCAGTACCTGTTGGGAAAAGGTGGAATGGCAGCTCCCTGAAAGCTTAAGACATTCTGCTGCTGTGCCCTCTCTGCAAATCCTGAGCACCACCAACACGCCATCTCAAGGGTCATTTTGGCCTGTCTTTGATTTGTATATCTTCCTTTGGATGTTCATCACCTGCTGCCGCTCTGCATGCCTGTGTGAAAGCTGAACACCAAGGCAAGCTCGGTATGAATCCCATTTTGGTTGGGGAGCCATTTCAGCTGGGTCCTAAGCAAGTTTTGTTAGTTCTGTCACTGGGGGTTTTCTCACAACCAGGGATATTGTAGCAAATATGTCAGTTTGTCAACTGATACGGGGCAGAGAGCTCTGCTGCAGTCCCAAATACAGGAAAAGCTGTAACATAGGAAATCCTGAGCTGGAAGYTGCCATAGGCTTGCAAAGCCTTCACGGGGGAAGGAGTGAGGAATGTCATAAATACCTGTTCATGTCATTGATTTTTTTGTTGCCATTGTTGAAAAGTGGGGGCATGATGTTTACCACGACTCTGTTCCAAATTTTCAGTCTGCATGTCTCTGTAGCTTTTGGAGAGCGTTATGGTTTTTCCTGCCCCCTGTACTAGCAGTTTGTCTTTCCTTTCCAGATTATTCAAAAGTTCACCTAACACAGCTATTGGAAAAAGCTGAAGTGATTGCAGGCCGGATGCTTAAAATGTCGGTTTTTTATCGGAATCAGCACAAAGAATACTTTGATTATATCAGGTAAGAAGATAAACATTTGCAAAGTCCTTTGGCAAATTAAGGGAGTAATGAAAATAAGTAAMTGGAGACAGCTGTGCTAAGGCTAGAGCAGAATGTCTGTGCTTTACACCCCWTTCAGAAGAAGGCAAAGAAAATACAATTCGTTTCTTTCACCCTGCTTAACTCAGCACTTCCATTAGGCAATAAAAGTCTGTGTTTTGGAGCAGAAATTGGGGTACCCACAGGTTTTCCAGCCTGATTTAAGCATCTGTAATCRTAATGGAGAGTTTGGTAGCCAGATATTTCTATTGTACTGATAAATTAGGTGAGAGAAGGCGTGTACAATGGTGTGCATAGTCATGCCTGCATGTAAGGTATTCCATCTCAGATATTTGCTCCCCACATACAACCAGCCATTTCCATGCCCAAATGCAGTTATATAGACTCTGCAATCTCTGTGTTAATTTATAGATCATGTGGGGAGGGAGAGGGCATGATGTTTAGACAGTGTTACAGCACCATGCTTCAGTTGGAATGAAAAAACAGGATAGCTGGAGGTAGGTTCCTGTTCCTGCTGGAGACCCAGTGTGCCCTCCCACACACGGCTGGAAGCAACAGGACAAGAGAAAAGCAGGCTTTTTGATAGAAGGAGTCAAAGCTCATRTGCTGAGTGAGAAGGAGCAGCCACACATGGTAACCTCCCCCTGTTAGAAGAACATGGATGAGAGGTAAGCAGTGTGTTGGAAGGGTGCAGCACTGACTGTGCTTCTTTAATATTCATCAGGACATGGGGCTCCTGCTGGGCCGCATCATTTCAGGTTTATGTGAGTGTCACGCTAGTACCTGCCTAGAATGGAAAGTTTTAAAATAACTCAAGGCAATCCAGCTTCAAAGAACAGACTCCACCACCCCTGGAAACATTCCCCCTTTGTAGTCGTAGGGATCTGATTTATTCCAGTAGTGTGTTGTATATTCCAGTAGTGTGTTGTATATTCCAGAGCACGGGCTTGCTCTTCCCTTCCTATGTTTTGGAAGGATTATTTTGTTGCATGTAGTGATAAAGCTGCAAAACTCAGTGGAGGTAGAGGATAAATTGCAGTTCTTGAGGCTATTTGAGGGCCTCATWAATCACTGCTGCCATCCTGGGCTGGACACCACAGAAGGGAAAGGCCTGTGCTGCTCTGATTCTCATGTTGCTTTGTTTTCAGCTGTGTAGTCATAGTGCACCTGCCTTTGTGTTCATTAGTATTGAAAATTGCCACTGAGGTGCATTTRTAGCTGTGGGTTTGGCCTTGTTCTGCCAAATGTGACTCTAAATGATTGCACTGTATCTTTTCTCCTTCATCCTGTTAAGCTCTTTATTGGTTCAACACCAACAGAGATGAGTTTGTTTTGCCTCTGTTACTGAGATGGAGATAAAAAGCTGTGTTTTACCAGGTCAGTGGGAAGCTACAATACCAGTAACTGGCTGCTGGTCAACTCTTTTGATCTGAAATGGGCTAATACAGTCACAAGGGCTARTCCTTCCAAAATCCACCCTTCTGCATGTTATGATAAAACCCTAACCACGTGCTTCCTATTAGGGAAAATTCCTTGTCATCCTAGGCCGTGCCTGCCAATGGCCTCTGTGGTGTCATCACTAGTGAGCAGCTTGGAAAAGCTCTGGTAGCACTGGCAAACAAGCAGCTGTTCCTGGTGCTAAAGCAGCAGCCCCTAAATGCAGGGTTTGAGGTGTGAGCTCAGAGTGGTGTTCATTCCCTGCAGCCTAGCTGGGCTGAGAGCACCACAAAGCAGCTCAGATCCCCTGAAAGGGTGACCCATAATTAGCCTAATTGGCCACTGGATGTCAGTATCTTGCCACAGAAATGGAACTGACTTTGTCAGAATGGAGCCTGACTTTTCAGGTTGCAGAAGTTTCAGGTGGTTATTTAAGCACCTTCAAACTTGTTTTTTCTTTTTTTTCTCCCTAGTAATCTCTTCATTCATAAAATACTAATTATACACCCCACTCCAAATCCATGTCTGATTAAATAGGGCTTAGACTATAACTAGATAGTGTTTGAATGGCCCAGAAAACTTTGGAAATATATTTTAGAATAAAATAACGATGTGCTGCTGAGGAGATTACAAATAATTTAAAAAAAAAAAAAAAATCACAGTTGGAGGTATGACTGAGCTGATTTAGAGCTGTTTTGCATGTATACCCTGAGTTTGTTTGCTTTGACTGCTACCTCCCACTTTAACCAAGTAAAACCTTCTCCCACACAGTACCATTTTACATGGACTGGTTGAAAACTAAAAGCAAAGACAGAACAATCTTGCTGGGCTAATTTATCCTCTCCTAGAAGAAAGAAAAGAAGGAAAAAAAGAGAAAAAAAAAAAGTAAAAGCAAAGTAAGAGTTTCCAGCCCCACACCCTTGTGTATTTTTAATCTGTCATGTCAGTGAGTATAAAGGCATTGTTCTAAGGGTGCCTAGCAAATAGGGTGTTTTGCAGGATTTATGAAAGGGGATGGCCCCCTTTCAGGTATCATGAGGTTGCAGCTGCAGAGAGAGCCAAAGCTGCCACTGGGGCATTTCCAGAGAGGTATGGGGCACAAATGTTGGAGAATGCCCTGCTATACATAAACTCTCAGGTGCTAAGGAGGATTAGGAGGATTAGATGGGGTGTTTTGGAGTGGTCTCCTAAATTTAGCATCCTAATGGTGCTGAGTGTAATTTGGGATTTGGGGTTTTCAAAATTCACTTGTGCGTTGCACATTTCACTGGAATAAAATTGAGCTAGGTTTGGAAAAAAAAAAAAAAAAAGTCTGTCTTTCCCCTTAGGACTAGTGACTGCAGAAACTGGATACCAACCAAAATGGGAATTAATCAAATTGCCTAATTCTCTGTGCCCAGCTCTATTCTGATTGAAGTCAGCAGCAGACCAGTTAGACTTGAAATGATCATTTGGGGAGAAAAAAGACTGTGGCAGACAGTACATTCCTTCCTATAACCTCTCTGAAAAGCATCCTTCAGAAATAACTTTCACTGCTAGTTTTCTACATGAACTATAGGCTGCCCATGCTAAAAATAYGCATTAACAGACAGTATATTCACTATATGGAGACTGACTTGAAATGTTCAACATGTGTTTATTGTCAGAAATGTAGTGTMAGGCTGAACAAAGCAGCTAATTAAAGATATGTGTGGTTTGGGGGCTTYTTTATTTGTGCTTTTTGCTTGTGCCTGCATCGAATACCCAGACAGCTGACAGAGAAGGCAGCCTGGAAAAACAGATTTTTCCCCTTGAGCAGGAGTTATTCTAGTTCTTCCCAAGTCTAATGGCACTTGATTTTCTTGATCCTAAGACYGTGGTGACACTAACCACTAACCAWWYCAGYTGAATGGTTTTCCTTTGTGTCCCTTCAGTCCTGTTTCCAAACAGCATGATGKCTTAGCTTTCCACCTTTTCTTTACCATGTGTTATGAAATAAACAATGCCAGTTCTTCATTTGTAGAGAGCATCATGGGAATGCTATGCAGCCCTCTGTTAAGGATAACAGTGGCAGCCATGGCTCTCCGATCAGCGGCAAGCTGGAAGGCATCTTCTTTAGCTGCAACACTGAGTTTAACACTGGGAAGCCGCCCCAAGATTCACCCTATGGAAGATACAGGTATGAGATTGCAGCTGAAAAACTCTTCAACCCCAATACTAACTTGTACTTTGGAGACTTCTACTGCATGTACACAGCCTACCACTACGTCATCCTCGTGATCGCCCCYGTGGGGTCACCAGGAGACGAATTCTGTAAGCAGCGCCTTCCTCAGCTAAACATAAAAGATAACAAATTTCTGACCTGCGATGAAGAAGACGGGGTCATGGTTTACCATCATGCCCAGGATGTTATTTTGGAAGTAATTTACACTGATCCTGTGGATCTCTCCCTCGGCACAGTCGCAGAAATTACCGGTCACCAACTAATGAGCTTGTCTACTGCAAACGCAAAGAAAGATCCCAGCTGCAAGACCTGCAATATCAGTGTTGGACGTTAAAACTTCCCTCRTTCCTTAGGAGCCTTCAAACCTCTGTTGCCCATTTCCATAGTCAGACGGTTCTGTCGGAAGCATGCACATGCCGCTGTCACCAAAAGCAACCACCAGTCTTCGAAATCTCCAATAGCCTTCTTAGTATTTCTTCTCTCCCTCTTTCCCTTCTGTTCCCCCGATGCTTTAAATGATTAGAAGTCCTGGATTTCTTTCTGGCAACCATTATACCTAGATGCTGCAAAAATTGTTTTCTGTTTCTTGCCAAACATAACAAAATCCTATATAAACTGCTTTAGCAAAATAAAAATAACGGCTTATAAATGGTGTTTAAATATGCATTCATTTTAACTACTGAACAAGTACTGGGATAACTGAACAGCATGAAAGGTTGTAATTGCAGCATGATTTGAATTTCAGAGCCTAGAAATGTCAGCACTTCCAACGTGTTGTTTGACAGTGTTATTTATGTTATTTATATTAGCTAACTGAAAACAGAAACTGTGTCTCGACATAATAAATATAATAGAAAAATATTTTATTTGTACTGTTGTATAAAATATTATACAATCATATAGAATATATAGATTACATTTTAATATCAATTGTATACATATGTCATTAAATCATTTTCCCTTATCAAAGATGTAGTTTGTAAACTTCAAATAGCTCTGTATCTGTTCTTGTTGCTCTAGATGACTTTAATTAAAACAGATTTATGAAGACCATTTCTGATTCATAAAAGTCAAGTTATAAATTATTAAGTCAGTACACTGCAACAACAAACGGCTGCAAAATAAAAAATTCCTTTTTTAGTGTTCATATTTTTTCCTCCAAACTATTTGAAGATGTGTACATCTTCCAAATCATGCCATTACATACTAGATAAATACAAACATGGTTGKTACATAATAGTCTTTAGAAAATCAAATCTTACCAAGATAAAAAACAGGTTGCTTATACTATGTGGTCAATACAAAATGACAGGTAAAGCAATACACTAAACATGATTCAACTGGTTCCAGTTCCTTTTTTCTTTCTTTAAGTGATTGTYCCCTCCTTTCTGTCTGGGCTGGGTATTTCCCAGAATCCCTGCTTTTCATATCTAGTACAAAACCTGCTGATAATCCTTCTATTCCTAGTCCACTTTTCATACCAATGGCCTATCACAAACAGTGACAATTCTCCTTAATAGTACAAAGTGTGGATCTCTGAAAGTGAAGAAAAACGTGTAATTCCAATGGAAAAATAACTTACTTTTTATAACCTTATTTTCAGTAAACAAGAAGTCTAGCAGTCCTCATCAGATAACCGTGACACTCACTTTATACCATGTACTTTATCTATCCAAAATATCTTAGCATAATGCAGTAATCTAATCCTGTTTTAATATATATATGTGGCAATTTATAACACAAGAAGTACTTCAACATTTTACAAAGTGCATGCGTCTAAACGAGCTTTGGTAGTTAGAGAAGCAAATGTTATAGCATCAGGCAAACCAAAGTGCAAAGTTCAATAGAGAAATCAAAATTAGCATGTASTTGATCTATTTACTGACTTAAATTCCGTGAGCCAGGTCCTGTGAACTAGTGATAAGGACAGCAGCCAATACAGCTGTTCTGTCTCTTCCCAGAAACCTGTAGCTRTTTCATTCTGCCAAACACTTCCTCTTACTCCCAAAACACCAATAGTTCCATTTGGCAGACACATTCTGGCCTTTTTTGCATAAGCAGCATCCCTTTGCTCTACCCCAGTCCTGGCACTGGTTCTTTCTGTGCGCCTTTCTTTGAAGCCACTGGCATTGAATGGCAGCTCTGTCTTGAAAGCTAGAGTTTGTTCTTTTTCCTTCACTCATTTTCATTAATTTCTTCTAATCTAGCAAATCAGCACCTTGAGAGCCAGCATTACTAATTAATTATAGTGCATGTTAATTCTGAAAACGAACATGTGGCGCATTGTCATGTACTATGATGTACTAAAAACCTGCAGAGCATTTTCTCACACTTTTAGAGCAGGTCAGACTGAGAATCTGCATTACTTCAGTGTCCTTTTMATTTCTTAACATTCTCACAGTGCACTTCAAGGCTTTTCCAAAAGGAAAATATATACTATAATCCACTCACCCGTGCTTTATATTCTTGGATATTGCTGTCCTCTCTCATCCCAGCTATTATAATTGGTAAAGTGCATCAAAAATCTCAGTGTGTCAAATAATTGTGCAGCAGACCAAGACCTGTAAAATTACTTCCTCTTTTTCATTACTTGTTTGTTTGCTTGGAATTTTTTTTTAATTTTTTTTTTTTTTTTTTGCTAGAGAACAATATCACAGCATTGCATTCACTTCAAATAGTTTTGGAAATATCATGCTTACTGATGAGAACCTCCAGGAGCCTGATTTTGGCTTTTGTGTGCTTGTATTCGGAGTATTCCTCAGCCATTGGCACTCGATCTTCTTTCTGAGGACTCCTATGAAAAGGAAATAAAATATTCTTTCATGAATAAGAAGAGAAACAGTCTTACAAATTAATTCTGCAACAGCTGATGAAGATTGGATTTTGATACTGACTGTAAATGACTACAGGACCAAAAAGCTTCAATATACAGAAATAAAATAGTATTTTAAATGCTGAATTTTCATATACCAGACAACTTTCCTGACAGCATCCTGAATCACTTGATTCTCARATATGCAGAGAAGTCMTAACAGTGCTTTGAAGCACTGTTACCACTTYTACCAGTGCCCATATCCTCCATGGYTTTCAACACMAAGGTTTGCTAAATGAAGAGAGGTGGAAAAACAAAGAATGAAARAGAACCAGATTTTAGCTATGGGTAAAAGCAACAGTGGCTTCTGTTTTCAAAATCTGGCTGTTTCAAAATGGTCGAACTCCAAGTGTATGCCCTGCAGCTGACATCCTCATTAAGAGTCTTTTAGCAGCCTCCCTTCAGCCCAGGGAAGATCCTGTGCTGATGTGGGGTTTGTACCCACTGTGAGTGTGTCCTGGAACATCCCCAAATCCACACAGTCCTCAGGGATGACCACACTGGGAAGGAACGAAGCAGGGACATGGATGGACATGTCCAGAGACCAGACAGCTCTAATGGTATTTTCCAGTGCTCAGCCCAGAGTGCCCACCCTTGCAGACACAAACATACCCAAAGGGTATCAGAGAGGGCTTTGCTGGGTTACCTTCCTGTCTGTTTGTAGAACTGCTCCTCAAACTCTCGAAGAGCCTTGCGAAGTCTTTTCTTATCAGCTCTTGTTTCTCTGAGATGTTCAAGCAGAACGGGCCTGTGAAATAGAGACAAGATGAAAGCCCCTTGGGCTTGGAAGGGTTGTAAAAGCCCTGGATTTGGGTAGMAAAGAGCTTCTGCTGTGGGGCCATGGCAGGCACTGAGCAGAGCCTGTGACATTCCACCACACACAGCCACCATTGAGCTCCTCCCTTTTACTGCTATCCCCGCCCTTCTAATAAAGTGAAGCCAGAGACTGATCAACAGGGGAGGAGAAGCATTCAGGACTGAGTCTTGCTCATGGCCTTAATTCCCTGTAGAATTAATGGAGTTGACAGAGCTCAGCATCTCACAGGGAAATGCTTTGCATTGAATTAAYGTCAACATCGAAGCCCTGCTCCCGTTTGCAGCTGTTCCCAGTCGTTACTGTGATGCAGTGAAAATGCCAGTGGTACCCAGAAGCATCATTTTTGGAGGCCATGTTTTAGCTAGAGTTCAGAGAATAAGGGTTTTAAGCAGAGAGAATTGTGTTATGACATTTTCTCCTGATAATTTTTTTGCTAATAACAAAATGCTCAGAAATATTTTCCCAGCATTTATGAGCAAACAATTGCACACTGGAGTGTAACTGGAGTTACTTAGAAATCTAAGYCATTTTTATTTACTCTCAATTTTGTTAGAGTCCAGCTAGTTTCATTTATGTATCTAAGACTTCCCAATCAAAATACAAAAGATACCATCCCCTGAGCTATGAGAACATATGTGTTCCTGGAAGGCACAGTCTTCAACAACTTTCTTTTTCTGGTCTTGGCACAAAGTTATTTAAATAAACAGCTCAAACCACAGGTATGCTGCCCAAACAATGAATCTGCTCTGCTTGCTCTCTCCCACAACAAAACACTGAAAATATTCCCATGCAACAGGTATGGCTCATGTTTCATTTACAAAGTCTACATGAAATGTCTTTAAACATTTGGGGTAACAAAAGAGAGGACTTACATTGTTGCCTCATGTAAATTGGACATAGACAAGGCTGTTKGCCTGTAGACTTTCTTTTCATCCASAGGTGAAATATGTGCAGGCTCACTCTCCTCCTGAGAGTAACACAGGTGCTCTTCAACAGGGAAACAAGACATTGGACCAGATGATAACTCATGGCTGCTTTGAGAATGGTCTTCATCTGAGTCTTCCTCCTCCTGCTTGGGAAATAAGGGATAATAATGTAAAAACATTATTAAATTAATTGTTTCAATCACAAGACTTACAGCTAACAGGATAGCAACCTAAAGAATTAGGATCTGATTTCCTGGATGTAGCCATTGAAACAGATTACACAYATTGAAAGGTGTACCAGGTCTACCTGAGATTGTTCATGAAAGCACTCATGGTCACTGGGTTACTGTGTATTGCCCACCAGGAGTAAAAAGGACAGAAGCTCCCAAATAYCTCCAGCCAGCAATTCATTTCTGTCTGCTTCAAAGCCCTTCTGTGTAGTAAAGATTTAACATTATTTATTTATATAAGCAGTGCTGTCTGGGTGGAACTTGTACTGGTCTTAAATACCATCTACTGCGTGCATTATATCCAGATGTTTTGATTGTAGAGTTGGAGGGAGAGATTCCACAGTGTTATAGCTACTAATGTTAACACTAAAATAGACTGAYATTGGTGTCTTCCTCACATTGCTCCATGCTCAGAAGAAAAACAGAGCTACTGAAATTAAGGCTTGAACACAAGAAACTCCACGGGGCAGAGCTCCTAACAAGTGACACTAGAGGGATTTGCAGTTAGATTTTTCAATAAAACACCCATGTGCACTTGTGCAAAGCTTCGCACTGGGATTTTTTTAACAAATGTAAAGTTACACTGTCATCTAACAAGACTAATAATTTTTTTTTAATTCACCTAGCCCCAATTACTTTCAGATTAGTATTTTTATAGACATAGTAATTAACTTCCAAGTAGTCATATTCCATGTCTTCACTCACCGTGAGACCACTACTGTTCCATTACACCAATACATTATTAAAGTATTGCAAATTGTGTTTTTGTGCTATATGATTGATAAAAGCRTTGTTGATAAAATATGGAAGTTAGAGGCAGTGACAGCAGAGTCCCTCATGGAAAGAGAGGTTTCCAGTTATTTTGCAGATATTTGCCACGATAGAAAACTAATGCCAGCCTTTGATGTCTTACCCAGCCCACTGAATCCTTGCCTCAGAAACTGCTGCTGCACGTGGGAACCTCTGGCATGCACAGAAGYTGCATTTTACAAATACTTAAGAGTATTTGCTTTATCTGAAGTATCAACACCCTGCTCAACCAATGATATCAGTAGTTCTATTGCTCCCAAATGGGCATATAGGTACAAATGAAATTCAGCATTTGTATGTTTTGTTGGCAATGGATGAATTCTTCCCAACTTACAATTGTTGTGATCAAAGATGGAGCAGCAAGAAGTTTCTTGATAATTCTGTATCTGTCATAAAGAGGTTTCATGAGACTCTTTTCTTGCTTAGTTACCTAAAGAAAAATAACAAAATACGGTCCTCAAAAATTAAAAGTAAATTTAAAAGATTCTCATKTTCTCCTGTAAAGCTGAGAAAGGTATGAGAAGAGTATGACCAGAGGCRTATTCTTT